GGCTCCCCGCTTATGCTAATGAAGCCCGGGAAATTCAAATCCCGGGCTTCATTAGCACTGAGGGTATGTCTACACTACCCCGCTAGTTCGAACTAGCGGGGTAGTGTAGACATACCCTTAGTGTTTTGACAGGTGGTCCATATTTTGAGAACAGTTTTTCCTGATGAGAGTCTGGCCACTGAATCTGGTAGGAGAAGGTTATTAAATAGGGCCTCTGGTGCATATTTCTTATGCTTTTACTTAATGGTCATTAGGGATGTAAGCGACTAGTGGGCTACCCGATAAGCAAATTCTTATTGGATAGTTGAATAGGAACTTGACTAGTTGCTTCTCCCCACCCTGTTGCCTCTATCAGAGAGAGGCAGCAAGGGGGGAGCAGGAGCTGGTCCTGGGTGGAGGGGAGCCAGCTTAAAAGCTAGTCCCCCATCACCATTTCCGTGGGGGGCAGGAGAGGCACAGGGATGCAGGGAAACAGTGCGAGCAGGGATTTAAACAGTCCTGTTTGTGCCTGTCCCGACTGCTGCTCCTCTCTTGTTTAAATGTATAAGAGCCACCTGCAGCTCTTGTACATTTCAAAGGGAGAGAGGCAGCGGGAGAGTGAGCACCCCCCTTATTGACTAATTGAGTAGTCGATGGAAATTCCATCGACTATATTAATTCCTCATTTAACACGGTAGATACGTTTCAGAAAATGATCGTGCTAAGCAAAAACGTGTTATGCAGGGTCAATTTTCCCATTGAAAATAATGGAAAAGGTGGGAGTTGTGTTTCAAGCGGTTGTGTCAAAGTCAGTTTTCTGTTGGTGCTGAATCGTCTCCAGCCTGCACTTGCTTGCAGCTGGCCGCTGAGCACAGGCAGCTGCCTTGGGACCGGGACACAAGGTTGGGGGAGAAAGGGGACTTGGTTATAGCAGGGAGGGGAGGTGTTTGGCCCTGGGGAAGGGAAGGAGAGGAGAGCGGAGGGGGATTGGGTTGGGAGTATGCCCCGGTGATGGGTCTGCCGGGACCCGCACTGCGTCCAGCAAAGGGGGGTCGGTGGGGGAACGGCACAGCAAGTGGTGAACCCTCCGCAGCTTTGAAGGGAGGCGGGGGAGCCCCGCGCAGCTACCGGTGAGAGGCCGGCTGCGGAAACTCAGCCGCTGGCCTGCAAGTAGGGGCGGAGGAGAGAGGGCAAGGCGCCTGGATGGCTGCTTGGGGCTTTCCCCGCCTCCCTGCAAAGTTCGCTGCTCGCCGCGCCGTTTCCTGCCGACCCCTCCCCCCCATTGCTGGACGCAGTGTGGGTCCTGGCAGACCTGTGACGGGCATACTCCCAACCCAATCCCGCTCCCCTTCCCTTCCCCAGATCCAAACACCTTCCCTCCCTGCTGTAACTCAGTCCCCCTTTCTCCCCCAAACTTATGTCCCGGTCCCAAGGTAGCTGCCTGTGCTCAGCGGCCAGTTGCTAGCAAGCGCAGTCTGGAGCCGCGAGCGCACATGCGGCTCACAGCAGCCCGGCCGGCCGAGAGAGCAGTTGACCAGAGCCCTTGCGTGTTATTTCAGGAACGGTTGTGTTATTCAAAAAACATTCCTTAAAAAAAAAAACTCGTGCTATCATGAAAACGTGTTAAGCGGGCACGTGTTAAATGAGTAATTACGGTACTCGACTAGCTAATTAATCAAAATTTAACACCCCTAATGGTCAAGATGTTATTTATTTGTAGCTGTTTTCAGTATGCCACATTTCAGTGTGTTTACTATCTTGCCTTCTTAGAAAGGATGATAAAATACATGTACTCCAAGTGCACGTTAATTTCCTTTGTATTTATTAAACATCTTAAGAGTGCACCTTGTTAATTATCTCTTGTTTTAGTATTCTTTTTTCTTTTATACCTATGAACTGTTCAAAACTTTGTCTAGGTTTTTTGTTTGTACTCATGGCTTACATCCACAGATTACTTCAGTAATGATGATGTACATAATAAAATTCAACGTGCACATGAGAGGAAAATACTAGAGTAACATTGCTTGGTATCCTTAATTATTTTCTTACGGAGCTGGAATTCCCATGACTACTATTATGGGAGGGGAGAATGGGGACCCACCTTTAAGTTGATAGAGCATTTTGCTGTTAGAAAAGCTTGTTCAGGTTACTTCTTAGAAATTGAATAGTATGGTATTTAGAAATGCATTTGTTGCACTGTTAGTGTTTTAAAATAATTTGTTGGTTGTTTCTACAGCCGGGAGTAAACAGTATGGATGCACAAGTAGGTATGTATACACAAACCTTTTTTTATATTTTATAGTAAACTTGCTTAAATCTATTTACGAACAATATAAATGAAACTTTATCCAATTTCCCTTCTTTATATTAACTATAAATTTTAGTTTATACTGATGGTTTACTTTTCCTAGTGTCCTTTTCAAAAATGAAATAATTTCATGGGGAAAAAACCAAAAAGGTTAATTGTCATATGCCTTTAAACCCTTATTTTTGTGACTTACTGGTTTTCTTTAACATTTTTATATTTGTAATTAATTATTTTACACACTTCAGAAATATAAATTTGAGACTTATCCTGTTCTGATTGGGGTATTTTGTTTGCTTCTTTTCTTCTTTATGTATTGTCATGGACTTCTATTCTTGAGATGCCCAGGCCGTCTATAGTCCACCCTTCCATCCCCCCCCCCCAATACCAAGCATTCAGACCAACAGGATATTTCAGGAACTCATGCCTCCTTCTCATAATAATGTGTTGCATGTTCTGTAGTAAAAGGATTCTTTTTATGCATGAATAGCACCTTCTTGAGAGATCAGTTGAACTTAATGCTCATGAAACTAATGGAATTGCCAGTTGATTATCTAGAGCAAAGATGTTTGTGTAAGCCATCCTTTGAAGATTGGATGGATTTCCCATGTCTGTACTGTCATTATAAAGTGTCTGAGAGCCAAAATGATAACTTGTACAGGCAGTCCCCGAGTTACACAGATCCAACTTATGTCGGATCCGCACTTACGAACGGGGCTTTCTCGCCCCGGAGCTCGCAGGCAGCGGGACCGCCCAGAGCGCAGTGGTCCCGCCACCTCGACCTCCGGGGCGAGAAAAGCTGCTCTGGGTGCCCCTGGTCTGCTGGGGACCGTCTCCAGCAGACCAGGGACACCAGGAGCAAAGCCGGGGAGGCGGAGGGGTTCCGCGCCTCTGAGGCTTTGCTCTGGGAAAGCCTCAGAGGTGCGGCACCCCGCCACCGCTGCAGCTTTGCTCCCCGTGTCCCTGGTCTGCTGGGGGGACGGGGGCG